CTGCAGTGTCCTGGACAGCCACCCCTCTTACCTACAGCTGCACTGAAGTATGAGGCCTTGGTTTTCACCACACACTCCCAGGTCCCTACCCTCCAGCCCCTCGGCCCCTCCAGTTGAACACTGCAGGACCTTCTAGTTTCCTCTCCCCTAGGGAACCAGCTCACAGCGTCCTGTGGAGACCCACAGCTTCCTATAGCCCTGAGTGCCATCTATCTCCTAGGCCGGCCTCTACCGTCTAGCTCCCACTGAGCTTTCCTGCTTCCCAGAATCAGACATTGGAGTTAATATCTGTAGGAAATCACAGGCCAACTTCTGTGGGCACAATTGATGCCCAGAGAAGGCAAGAAATTTGTGGCATTAGCTTCAAGAACTGGGACTACACTTGAGTCACCTAACTCCTGGTCCAGTGCATCTTCCAAAATGCCACCATCTGAAGCATTCCCCTGCCCTCAGTGCTGCCTCCTCCAGAAAGCTGTCCTTGACTACCAAGCACACGGGGAACAGCCTGGCTACTTCCTTCTGCTCAAGCCCAGCCTGCCCTTCACTAGCCTGTGTGTGGGCCTCTCTTTCATCCAGAGATTCTACAGCCATCTTCTGAACCCCGGTGAGCCAAATCCTATGCCCCACCCTGCCACGAGGAAGACAGGAAGAGACATGGTCCCAGCCTGGGTTAGTCCTTGCTCTTGTGCCATTTCACCCCTTTGAGCCTCTTCTGATCTAGGGACATGTCCACTGGCACACTATAGCAGTGCCGCTTCTGCTCCAGCCAACAGGTCCTTAATCTAGCAGCACCCCTCCTGTGCCTGCATCTCCTGTTCATGGCCCGTGTCCTGACTTCTTACCTCACTCCACTCCTGCCTGCCACTCCCAGTGCTACCCAGCACCCAGTACCCAGCACCCAGCACCGACATGAATGCATGGCAGGGAAGCGTAAAGGAATTCCCCACCCTTGGGGTGAACCTTTGACCATGGGTGAGTAAATTCTTACCTCTTCCTCTGCCACCCCCTATCTATCTTTCTTTCCCTTCCTTTCTTTCTTTTTCCCTAGTGCTGGGGATTGAAACCAGGCCTGTGCATAGGTAGCCACTATGCTATGCCCCAGCCCCACCCTGGGCTTTTCTAAGAAGATCACTTAGAGCACAAGATCCCCTGGTTTGCCAAGCAGAGGCCAGACCCCAAAGGCATCCCTGTGTTACTTCTCTCTCATGCTCTGCCCCACTCTCCCTTTCCCTGCTTCCGGGGTTGTGATGATAATGTAAATGGCACATTGGTCTCTGCAATGAGCTCTATTTTCCAGTAGGGGTCCAGGCGAAGCCACCTTTGCCCTGGAGGAATGGTCACTGTATGCTGGGTGTACCCGGGGTTCCTCCTAGCTCTGACACTTCATGGTTAGTCCACAGAGGAGGGGCCGGGGTGGCTGGCGGATCTAGGCACAGACTCACCTTTGCAGGCCTGGCAGCAGGAGGCAGGCAGCGGGAGGGGTGCGGGGCAGCCGGGTTCAGGGCAGGTGGCGAGGCCACAGTAGATCTGGCCCTCCTGACACACAGAACAAATGGCCGCTGAAAGGTTCTGAAGAGGATTTGCCTAGGAGCTAGGAGAGCCCTGGTCCCTGAGAGCAAATGCGCTGGAGGTCTCCCCTGAGGTGTGGGGAGGAGAGCACGAGGCTCCTGGGCGAGGTCCAGCCAGCATGGGATGAGGGGTAGGGGGATGTCCCCTGTGCCCTCCCCACTCCCCCATGGCCCCTGAAGGTGATATCATCTTTTTCTAAAGCCTTTTCACACCTAGTCTCCCCTGGGCTCTCACAGCAACCTGTGAAGTGGGGTTCTCCTCACCCGCAGATGAGAGGATCCCTGAGAAGGGCCTGTTTCATGGAGTCAGAGAGACAGTTGGGGCAGAATGGACTGAAGCCCAGCCCTTAGACTTTTCCTACTAAAATCAGGATCTCCTGGCTTGGAACAGGGGCCCCAGCATGGGTAGAGGTCCAGATGAGTGACACCTGGGGCTTATCTTGATCTTACTTAAAAGTCCTTGGCCTCCCACTTTGGTACCAGCCTTGAAAGACAAGACCACAGGGCAAAGGGCCTCTGGGAGGAAGGAGGCCAAATGACATTGGTGAGGGCTTCTGTTTTCTGGGCTTAATTTCCCCCTCTGTAAAATGGGGGCACATCCATCTAGGTTGTGGATCAACCAAGGGAATGGTTACAAAAACCAACTGTGAGGCTAAGTTCCCAGAGAAAGTGACATGACCTGGAGTGCTCCTCCTGCTCCTCCCAATGAGGCTGAGAAGAAAGAATCTCTATCCCTCAGATGAAGCCAGGAATTGAGCCAGTCTCATAAGCAGGGAGGAGAAGAAAGAAGTGGGGACTCTAGTATCCAGTTAGAATGGACAAAGGTATCACTAGAATGTTCTCACCAGCCTACTACCATCATTTCTGCCTCTTCCCCCACACCTGTACTAATCCAGGCTCTCCCTACACAAGAAGCAATATGACACAGGGAAAAGAATGTGAGCTTTTTGGAGTGACCTAGCCTACATCTGCAATATGGCTCTGCCACTTACTAGCTGTGTGACCTTATGCAAATCACTTGACTGATCTTAGCTGCAGTTTCCTAAAGAATAGGAATAGTGAACTGGGGTTGTAGGTTCAAAGGTAGAGCATTTGCCTAACACATTTGAGGTACTGGGTTCAATCCTCAGTTAAAAAAAGTTATAAAAATATATATTTTAAAAAAGACTAGGAATAGTGATATGCTCCTTCTATTTCCTATAGGTAGATATATATGGCATTTCTATGAATCTAGTGGTGCAATGTACTACACTACTGAGAGAGGCTCAGGCCACATGCAAAGTTGTTTCATAGTCACTCCAGGTATTTATAAGTTGTTTGCTCTGCAGCAACAGATTGGATTCAGACTGATGGGGCTTTCACTGAAGAAATGGGGAGGCAGGCCTGAGAGAAATGACCTGCCCAAAGTCACACAAGGAACCAAGGCAGAACTGGAGCTCAAACCTCATTTCCCCTAGGGAGACTTCCCCTAGAGAGGACATCACCAAGTCAGACTCCCTCTTAGAGGAACTATGGCTAGAGAAACTGGATGATCAGCTAGCAAGGAGGTGAGAAGAGCAGAGATTTCTCTAGATGCAAAAGAGAGCCCCTTCTAGAGGGCTCTGAGCAAGAGGGCGAAGACTTTCTAGGCCAAACCATTCCAGGCCATTCTCTGTTCTCTGGTAATACTGCCAAGTCCATCCTGCCTATCCCTGACCACAGGCAGGGAGAGTTGAAGCAGTTTCAGATTAAATTCCATTTGCTACCATTTGGCCTTCTCTCTGTGCCCTAGGACTGATGAACAATCATTCACTCATTCATTCTGCAATTCTCCTAAGCATCTTCTGCATGCCACGTCCTGGGCTGAGAGCAGCAGAGACACAGAAACAAAATGGGTGTGTTCAGGGCTCAGTGGTATAGTGGTTGCTGAGCGTATGTAAGGCCCTGGGTTCCATCCCCAGCACTGCCCCGCCTCCAAAAAAAGTTATATTCCCTCTTCTCAAGGAGTGCAGTGCCCACTGAGGGAAGCAGAAATGGGCTACTCAGTACCAGTGATCAGTGCTGTAACAGGAAGACTAGGAGGGTGTGGAAACCCAGAAAGGTCACCTGACCCAGATAAGGCAGGATATTTCAGACCCTAGAGGTTCCCTTCCCTCTAAGCTCTTCCATTTTAAGACCAGGGAAAAAATGCTTCCCACCCTCATCCATACTGCTGTGCTCTTTCCAGGCCTGGACACCACAGGGACAGTAAAAGTCTTACTGTACAGCTGCAGAGGACACACTGGTTGGGCAGGCGGGTGGGGAACAGCTCCTGGGCAGTGAAGATCTCTCCATGTTGGTACATGGTCCCGTTGTGCTGGCAGGACTTTGGTGGGGCACGGAGCCCAGAGGGGGTATGAGGTTCTGCAGGTGGGGAGGGTCAGGAGGAAGAAGAAAATGAGGTTTTATGTGGACCTATGATTTTTTGCTAGAATTAAACAGTCCACTCTTCTGAAGATTTTGCATATTATCCTTTCTTGGCATTTAAACCAAACCCTGGTGTCTGCCTTCCCAGCCATTCCCCACGTCAGCCCGCCGAGGGGTCCTGCTGACACCTACAGCTGACCATGTTCCTCCCTCGCCCTCCACCACAGCCTTGCAGCCCCTCAGCATCTGAGCTGGTCCTGACCAGAGCGAGAAGGAAAGCCCAGAAGCCTCAGCCCCACTGAAGTACACAGCGTTCATGTAGCAGCTCCTGGTGCCAAGCTCTGTTCTAGGTGCCAAGGGCCACAGCTGGGAGGAAAAAGTCCCCATCCTCAGAGAGCTATGTTCTCAGAGTCAGCTGGAATGATCTCCACTGCCCCTATAATGGGGTAAACTTCCACCATTCACTGAGGGCCAGGACCCCCGCCCAATCATCGCCAATAAGTCAATCCTCCTGCAGGGCAGAGGGCTGTGCCTGAGACAACTCACTCATTCATTCAAGAACCTTCACCAAGCACCTTCCCTGGACCAGGCACCATGCAAGACATTGGGAATGGAGTGAAGACCAAGATTCCTCCAGATCCTACCATCAGAAGTCCCACAATGTAAATACGGGAGAGAAACAAGCCACAGGCAATGGAACTGCAGAATGGTGAGGGCTGGGGCACGTGGAAGGACAGAAATGGCTGCAAAGAGGAGAAAGCTTCCCAAGGAGGCTGATGGCTAAATGGAGTCTTGAAGAACAAGGAGAAGCTAAGTCCAGTGACCTATCTCAGTGACTTGAGAGGATAAGGCAGGGGTATTGCAAGTTCAAGGCCAGCCAGCCTGGGCAACTCAAAATAAAAAAAAATAAAAAGGGCTAGGGATGTGGCTCAATGGTCCAATGCCCCTGGGTTCAAGCCTAGTCCCCCAAAAATAGAAGAACAAATGGAGCTAAGCAGGTGGAGGGGCAGAGGGTGGGGAGAGGCAGTAAAAAACACTGGAGTAGGGAGGGACCTAGGCCAAGGCACAGGAAAGTCCACAGTCAGCCAGGAGAGGTGGGGGCCCTGGAGTCAGCACAGACACAGAAGAGGCATGATGCCCTCAGAGAAGGTGATGCTGAGAGCCTCTGCTCCTTAAGGAACCCAAAGCCAGGAATCTCTGTGACTCATGTTAGGGCCCTCCTGGGCTCCCTTTTAGAAAATGGGTACCTCTCCACACGAACCTCCCTATAGCTCACTGGAGAGCCTGATTCCAGAGCTCAGATTGAGGTCTCCATAGGGAACCCCTTCCTTGTCACCTTCTTGATGTTTCTGAACATTGATTCTCTTCTGAGCATCTCACTGGTCCTTCTAAGTTGGTCTCTCCTAGTCTACTTGGTTGTGCCATTTGTTCTCAAACTATCTCTCTTCTCTCTTGCCTTTACTTCCTAGTATCCTAATCTCAGAGGCTCTTAGTTTTAAAGCCATGGAATCACAGACATTTAGCATTAGGACAAATAGAGTCACCTAATTTCAGCATTGGAGGAATCTTGGAGTACAGACACCAACTCCTTTGCTCCCTCCCAGCCCCAGGAAGGTCATTGTGGGGGCTCCCCTACAGGACTACTGTGGTTTTGGATACAATTTTACTGTGTCCCCCAGAGGTTCATGAGCTGGAAGTTTGGTCCCCAGTGTAGGTCTTGGGAAATGGCCTGACCTTTAAGAGGTGGGGCCTAATGGAATCGGTTAGGTCATGGGGAGCGTTCTTAGAAGAGAAAAATGTAATTCCCACAGGACCTAGTTAGTTCCTATGAGTGAGTTGTTATTAAGCAAGTCTGCCAGGCAGGCATGGTGGTGCACACCTTTAATCTTAGCAACTTGAAAGGCTGAGGCAGGAGGGTCACAAGTTTAAGGCCAGCCTCAACAACTTAGTGAGGCCCTTTGTAACTAAGTGAGACCCTGTCTCAAAATAAAAAATAAAAAGAACTGGGGATGTGACTCAGTGGTAAAGCACCCTGAATTCAATCCCTGGTACCAAACCAATAAATCAACACAGTGAGTCCACCTGTGCTCTTGCCTTCTGCACACAGTCAAGTCAGTTCTCTGTTTCTATGTTATGTTGTGACCCCATTGAGAGGTACCCCACCAGAAGCCAAACTGGGGAGGCTGCCAGATCTTGGACTTTCAACCTTCAAAACTGTGAGCTAAATAATCTTTATAATATAATCTTTATAAGTACCCAACTTCAGGTTCAGAAACAGAACCCATATAAGAGCCTTCCAGCCCACGATCACTTGCCGTCAATTCCCACAATGTGTCCGCTCCCCCCAACCCTGGCCAGCTAGAGAGAGATTGGAGCCCAAGTGTGCCAGTCAACAGGCCAAGCAAGCCCCTATCTCCTCCAGTTATTTTTTTTTACTTTTTCTACCTCCTCCTGCCAGGCACACTTACTTAAGAATGAGAAGTTCGCTGCTACCCCAGCCCTGCATGGGGATCCATGTTTTCTCCTCTAAGACTCTCTGTTTCTCAGTGCCTTAGTGGGCAGAGACTGCCGCTGTCTTTCCGGGGCTCTGTTCAGCTGGAAACTGCATCAGGGGTAAGGTGAAGGGCAGTAGGCAGTGAGGATGTTGGTGCAAGGGGAAGAGCGAGGCTACTTACCCACACACCTGGGACAGCACTGCTGTGGCTCCGTCACAGGCTGGGGGCAGTGGACAGGTGGGCAGTGGAGGCGGTAACAACTCACCTGGGCAGTCTAAAGGGGACACAGGGGTCAACCCTGGCTCTGAAGAACCATTGCCTCCCTCCTACACTGGTGGTCCTTTCCCCAAACCTCCACCCCAACTAGGGAACTCTCTGCCTCATTTTAAGCCTGCGATGGGATTAAAACCAATGAACTCCAGTGGGCCCAGTCCCTCCCCACCCCTGCCCACTGTGGGGAATCTCACTTGGCCACTCATCCGCATCCCCCTCCCACCCTGGAGGAGGGCAGACCTTCTTGTGGCTTTGCTCAGATGTTGTGTCCCTTCATAGTGTGTGAGAAATACAAGTAATAGCCTTGAGTTATTTTGACATTGATCTGGGTGCTTTGACACTGCTATCTTTAACTGTAGGGCTTTTAACTCTGACCCTGAGCCTTCCTGTCAAGGGAGGAATGTAACACCTGAGGGCAGGTGACCAGGATGGGGACAAGACTAAATACCTAATGTGGAGAAGACTCAGGGTACTAAGATTCCATCCCCTGAATCTCCGGAGGTCCAGGAAATCCTGGACAGAGCCTTTGGAGTTAGCATCAGAGAAGGAGGGACCCAAAGTTCTTTTACTTTTTCAGGTATAGCACATGAGAGAGAATCAGGCAGTGAAACACAAACATATGCACACACACAGAGACCAGCAGAAACTGCAAGAAAGGCCACCACCCCTTTTGGAGATTTTTCCAGTTCACCAGGCAGCCTCCCAGCCCCTCCTCAGCCGTCCCACCTCTCACTCTCCCCTCATTACAGGTTCACTGCACTGTGTGGCCACAAGCCATCAATATCTGTCTCACCTATTCAACAATGAACCCAAAGGAGTGATCAGCACAGGGCCTTGCTCTGAGTGCCTACTCAAGTCCCAGTGAACAAATGAGTGAGTAATAGATGAGAACAAGGAGATGAGGCACAGATGATCTCTCTCAGATGAATAGTAGGCTTTGTTCAAAACTGTGAAGTTGGTAACTTGTTTCCAGGTCCCATATCCTGGTCCTTCCTACTGCCATTTTCTCAGCAGAGGTCCCTGACAGTATTTTCCCCAGAGGCTGCCTCTTGCCCCATGGAAGACCTGAGACAGGTCTTAGCCCCTCTGAGTCACTGCTGCTCAAGATGGCCAGAGATAATTACCAGGACTAATCTCCATGTTGAGGAGCATCCCTGAGTCCACAGGGACTGCTGAGCTCTAATAGGGGTCTTCCAGAAGCCCAGCACACATGAGTGCTTAATCAACATCAGGAGGGTAAACTGATCCCCTCAGATGACAAACTAGGTGGAGTGTGAAGGACTGTGTGGCCTAAGGAGTTAGAGTGTCTCTGCTGACTGTGGCCTTGGAGGAGCCATGGGTTGGAGGTGACCAGCAGCAGGCAGCAGGAAATGAGGTGGAGACAGGCTGGGATGAATGGGCAAAGCCTTTTGAGACCAAAAGGAACCTCTCGGATAAGTCACAGCCACTATGTATTGAGTGGCTACTAGGCAGGGACTTTGCATTATACATGCATATACATATACATACATAGATTATTTCATTTCCTCTCCCGAACAACAAACAGAGAGGTAAGTACTACTATTCCCACTTTTGAAATGAGAAGAGTATCCCAGAGGTGAAGTACCTGAGCTCACAGAGTAGGTAAATACCATCACCAGGGACCCTGCACTGTCCAGGAGCTTGAGCTGCCTAGGGTGGATGGGGCCTGGACTTCCTCACTCAATGTGTGCTACATGTCTAGGGGAGCCAGGCCCTCTTCTGAGCACTAGGAACACAGCAGAGTAAGATGACATGCTTTCTGTTCTCACCAAGCTCACATTCTAGCAGTTGGAGTTAGACTAGAAAAATGTAATCAGGTGGAAACAAGAGAATTCCCCCAATGTTAAAGTTGTGACTTGATAAAGCAGTGTAAAGTTTAGGTGACAAGGTTGACTGCTTTAGAAATGGCTGTAAGGGAAGGCCTCATGAGAAGGTAACATTCATGTTAAGAACTGGAAGAGAGAAGGAGCCATTCATGAAATCCAGGGAAGAACATTCTAGGTGGAGCAAATACATGGGAAAGTTTCAAGCCAGTGTTGCTGCCCCAGAGAGAGCAGGCATAAGGTGAAGTTGGAGAATCAGACAGACATGGGATCACACAGAGCTCGCAGCAGGAGGAATTTTATTATAGGTGCAACAAAAGCCATTGGAGGGTTTTAAGAGTGGAATGACATGATCAATTTCATGTTCATAAAAGATCATTCTAACTATTGTGTGGATGATGGATTTGGGGAGGTGAACAGAGAGACTGTTAGGAGGCTGGTGTAGCAGCTCAAGTAAGAGATGAAGATGACTTAGGTCAGAGGAAGTGATGGTGGCAGGAAGTGGAGGCACTCCAAACATGTTGGAGATACCACAGGACTATTTTCTCAACAGTCTTTTGGGTTGAAGAAACTGCGTGTGTGAACTCTGGGGAAGGAGAGAGCTCCATTGGATCACAAAACTTGGACTTTGTCAACTGGACCACATGATATGTCTGGAATTCTCTGTTATGGTTGTTTTGTTCTCTGGCTACATTTCATAAAATTCTTCTTGAAAAGGTTGACTGGCCTCAGATGTGCTAAGGAAAACCTCAGGGAGGCAGCCATGGGGGAGCTGTGTCCCTGTCTGTGTCAACAATCTACCTGAGAAACAGTGGAAGCAAGGGAGAATCAGGAAAAGAACAGTAGGAAGGAGCCCCTGGGTGAGTCAGCCGAGGGCTGGCCCACCTGCTCCTTCACCCTGGGTCTCCTCAGGAACTCTTCTCTTCCTTTTTTTGTCTTATCTAGGAAGGCTCTGCCTTCCACTCTTGATCTGTGCAGGGTTACAGAGGGGCAGGCGGCTGGCTCCAGCTGGGAGCTAAGCTACACTTTCCTGCCCAAGCACGGACACCCAGGCAGAGAGCTGGGACATCTGTACTGGGCACCCAGTGACTGAGCCAAAGCCAAGGGTTTTTCAAGCCTCCTAAGCCACTCCCTCATCTCCTACCTTTCCAACCTCACACCTCACCTGAGACTCTGGATCACAAGGGAGTGTCATTTGTTCTACCTAATTGATTTTACAAGGCCCTGTGGAGACACTGGGCTGGTGTTATTATTTGGATGTTAAATATTACCTAGAGGCCCATGGGTTAAAGGATTAGTCCCCAGGGTGGTGTTCTGAGGAGATGCTGTGGACCCGTAGGAGGTGGGGTCTTGTTAGAGGCCCTTAGATCATTGCGAGTATACCCTTGAAAGGGATTATGGGTCTCTGGCTTCTTTCTCCCTTTTGCTTCCTGGCCACACAGTGAGAGGTTTTGTTTTGCCATACATTCTTGCTATGATGTGTTACCTTGCCACAGGCCCAAAGCAATGGAGTTGATTTATCATAGACTAGAACTTCCAAAACCACGAGTCAAAACAAGCCTTTTCTCTTTATAAACTGATTATCTCGGTATTTTTTCATAGTGACAGAAAGTTGACGAATACAGTTGGGGTGGGTGAGAGGAGACAAGTGAGAACAAATTTGTGGTCTCTGCTTCAGTTGGCTCAGCCTTTGGTAGGGCATCACACTGGATACCTGTTAGGGTCCAGCAAGACCTGTTCTTGGGGACTCAATTTGGAGGTACAGTAACTGACAGATGCAAATAAACTATGAATAGTAAGTAAAAGGAACAAAGAAACTTGTGTGGAATCCCAGAAGGAAAAACTACTTTCAGGCAGTGGTCATCTGCCCATTTGGGCAGTCTTGAGGAAAACAAATATTTGGGCCAGTAGAGTTGGGGGAATGCATCCTGGGGCAGGGCAGGAGGTGGCTGGAGGGAGTCATATGGGAAAGTAAAGAATGGGAGGAAGGTCAGAAAGGCTCTGACTTTGGCTGTGTGGGAGGCAGACGATGGCACCAGCACCAGCTGGAAAGAAGCCCCTGACCCACTGTGACCTAGCTCTGGGAGGCATCCAGGGACCTCTACTCCTATGTATTGAGAACTCGGTAGTGAGGTGTCGGTGGCCAGAGGAACCTACCTCAGAGCAGGTGCAGCGCAGGCAGTACATCAGGCCTTGTGGCTCCAAATAGGGGTGCCAGCTGTCGCCAGGGGAATACTTCTTCCCGTGGAAAAGGCAGAACATGTCTGGGCCTGACAAACCAACAATCGCCGTTAGTCCTAGGAGGTACCAGCCCCAAGACCCACTTCATCCCTTCTCCTTCCTAACTTTAAGAACAATGTCATCTGAGCTCCTTCAGATGGTCTCTTCTCTTCAGGCAGAAGAGATCCACTGAAACTGCTCTCCCAGTCAGGGGACCAGAATGTCCGAGTTTGGATCTCATCTTGACCACACACTTGCTATGCGACATCGGTCATGTTTCTGCCCCTCTCTGAGCTTTAACAGTTATCTTACAGGGCAGTGAGGGCATGGAGCAATAAAAATGCTTTACAGCCAGGTGTGGTGGTGCAGGCCTGTAATCCCAGTCACTCAGGAGGTTGAGGCAGGAGGATGGAAAGTTCAAGTCCAGCCTCAGCTACTTAGCAAGACTCTGGATCAGTGGTAAAGTGCCCCCGGGTTCAATTCTCAGTATTCTCCCCACAAAAAAAAAAAAAAAAAAAAAAAAAGCTTTACATATTTAAGTAGTGGTATAAATGATAGATGGGTAGTATGTAGTATGAGGCCCAGAGAGGATAAATTATATTATTCAGTGCATCAGAGCAAGTCAGTCATCAAGCAGGGACAAGAGGAGCCTAAGTCTCCTGACTCTCTGTCCAGTGCTCCTTTTGCTCTCACAATAACTGATTTCCTTTTCCTTTGTCCCTTTCACCTCTCATAACCAATCCACTCCTGCCCCTTCTTTTACCCCTCCCTACCTAGCCCTGGTCAGGCTTCCCCATCCAACGCTGTACCCTCTGCTGGCCACTCTGCCTCTTGCCCTGTCTCCATCAGCCATCCTCCATGGATGAGCTTCATCCCAAAAGGGATGCTTTCATTCCTTTGAGAAAACTCTCCATTATCCAACGCAAGCTAAGTACCAGCAAAAGCGTGCTAAATTAAATGAAAATGAAAACTAGAGAATGAAAACATTTATTGACTTCTCTGTGTTACACTTTTTCTGTAAGTTAATGATCTCAACATTCTGTCTTGAGAATTAAATAGGATAATGCTTGAAAAGTGCTTACTGAGCCCACTTCCCAATTCTTAGTTGAGTGTTACTCTTATGATTACAGCATTGATCACAAACATTTTTTTTAGAGACCCTGTCTCTAAATAAAATACAAAATAGGCCTGGGGATGTAGCTCAGTGTGAGTGCCCCTGAGTTCAATCCCCGGTAACCACGCCCCCCTCCCCCATACATAAAACAAGAAATCTGGACTGGAATGATAATATCTATCCTACTGTGGCTTTCTGATAGTTATCTTAATTATGAGAAGGCTAGATTAGAAAATAAAGGCTCACAGAGACAAGTGAAGTGCCTGAAGCCCTCCAGCTAGTGGTCTGAACCCAGGGCTCCAGGCTCCAAGCTCCTCTGGGCTCAACCCATCACTTTGGCTTTAACCCAACTCCAGGCCTAAAACTTCACTTGTCTCTGCTGCACCAGCCACCATCCCCCATTCCCTGTTTTTGTCTGCTAAACCTCTGTTGGTCTAGAATCTAGATGTTGCCTTTCATAACTCCCCCTTCCCACTTTATAGTGTCAGAAATGTGGACTCACACTTTCTGAATCACTTCTCTTAGTGTTCAAGCTTAGGAAATGGCAGAGCACTGGCAGCAGCAACTAGTTGGGTGGGGTGGGGCTCACACTGTGGTGCAGGGAATCCCCCTAAGCATTGGTGGTGGGCTGGAGCACAGGAACAGGAACTCATAGGCCATCTAAACCTAGGAATGTTATCTCTGTAAGAAGCTGATATAAAGCCAGGTGTGGTGGCACACCTATCATCCCAGTGACTTGGGAGGCTGAGGTAGGTTGGATCACCTCAGCAATTTAGCCAGGCCCTAAGCAACTCAGTGAGACCCAGTCTCTAAATAAAAATATTAAAAAGGGCTAGAGATGTGGCTCAGTGGTTAAGCACCCATGGGTTCAATCCCCAATACAAAAGAAAAAAGAAAATCTGATATCAGGCTCCTCACACTGCTACTGCTCAGTCCTTTTGGGCCTCCCTCCCAGGGCAAAGATTTGAGGCCATTGTCAAGGTGCTTTTGTCTGCTTTAGTGGGCCACCAAAGACCCCAGAAACACATAGCTTAGTTCTCTCCCTACCCCCATACCAGCACCCCACAGTGCAGGAAGTGACCCATTTGCAGATCCCTTTCTCCAGTGAGCCAGTAAGGCCCAGCTGGCTGTCTGGTCGGCCGTATCAAATGGGCTGTGTTTATCTCTGGGCCTCCACTGGCAGAGGGTGGAACACAGGCCCAGCTGGGACGCTGGTCAGAGCCAGCCCAACTCTCCAAGGACTGAATAATGTCTTTCTTCCTCAGTCCCCTCCCCCCACAAGGGAGGGGATGATTGCAACACTGTGGCCACCTTAGGTCTCAGCCCCTTGCTGAAGAAACCCTGTCCTACCTTCCTTGGGGCAGCCCTACAGTCTGGGCCCCTGTGCCAATTGGCACCCCTTCACCACCCGGCCTGCTCAGATGGTGGAGACTGGGAGTGTCTCAGCCAATGCTCAGGCCAGGAGGCCCCTTCCCCCACCAAGAGAAGACTGAAAACATGGGGGGCCTGGCAGGAGCTTCCTGTGGCCAAAGCCCCACCCTGCCATGCCCCTTAAGGTGAGAGGCCTAAGAAGGTGACAGTGCCTGGAGCACTCTTCCTCTGGGGAAGTGAGTGCCCAAGGCCATGTCAAAACCAGATGGGAAGAGGACCTGCAGGCCCAGCACCCTCCATTCCTGAGGCCCTGGCAGCAGCCCCAGTCCTTGCACATGGCTGGTGGAAGCAGCTCTAAACTGTACTGTGTGACATCCAGGGAAGGGTCTTTCTTCCCTTCTGTGAGCCTGTTTCCCGTCCAAATTAGGGGAGTGGGGTATGATCTTCAAAGAGTTTTTACATAGTTACAAACCCATGATTTCAGATGCAAAGACTCCAAAGTTCTAGGTTTCTAAGATTCAAGATTTGACAATGCCGTGTTTCCGAGAGCCTAAATTTCATTAGAACACAAAGTTTCTAGAATTGTATGATGCCATGGTTCTAAGATTTGATCATTCCAAGATTCCATGTTCTTGGAAGTATTTCCACCCATCTGGGCTCTCAGGGCCTCCAAGGTGGATTAGGGTGAGGTTCCAGGAGCCACCAGAGCCAATCCTGAGTGACACTGTGAAGGAGGCAGTTGGTCACTCCCCTCCCCCTCCCTTCCTATCTACTTTGTTCATACCTCAGCCTTCTCATTGCTATCCTGGCTCTAGACCTCCCAGCTTCCTCTCTCACCCTCCACCATTTGTCATCCCAGCCATCTATGCTCAGGTCAAGGGTGTCTTCTCTCAAGGATCTTCTGGAGTCAGATAGATCAAGGTTCAAATGATGGATTTAGCTTTTATTTGCAGCCTGAGTTAAGATAAACTAACCATTACAGGACTGTTTCCACAGCTGTTAAAAGAGACTAGTAATAATCTCTACCTCTTGGGGTTATTATAGAGTTAAATCAGATAATATATGTAATATTCCTAGTGTCTGATACATATTAGATACTAATTTAAATAGTAAGAATGAACAGACAGACAAAAACCAGATCTGGTGCTGTTAATTTCCTTAACAGTGTGTTTTTCAGAGCATAAATATTGTTGAGGTCAAATCTCCCAGGTCCCACAGCCACACCTGCCCTCTTTCCTGTGGCTCTCTGCATTCTTCTAGCCTAGTTTTCCTCAATAACACCCCATGCCCACACAGACCTCGGGCTGGGATTCAGAGATCAAAGTGGCTTCAAAGGTTGGTGCAGAGAATGAGAAGGCAGGAAAGAGAGGCAGAGGCTCACAAAGGACCTTAAGAACATGGAGGGAAAAGGAAAGCTGTGGAAAAGCCTTACCCTGGAGAGGCATGTGAAGAGGTTTGCATTTTAGAATTGTGGTCTGTTAGGCAAGCCTGCGGGCAGAGGCTGGGGAGAGGCTAGGCTGTTGCAGTCACCTGTTTGAGCTAATGCGGCACCTGGACCTAGGGCCTGGGCCGAAATGGACCCAGTACTAATGGACACAAATACAGATTTGAGGAACATGTCATAGGTACAGGGAAGATGGATAGGATATAGTAGAGAGGGTGAAGGAGCAAGTCAAGAATGAGATGGAGGTTTGGAGCCACCCTGAATCTGATGTCACGGTGACCCAAAGCATCTCCTTTGCAGAGAACTGTAAGCCAACATAGCAGCCTTCAGCTTCTAGTGGCTGAAAGTTGAGATGAGGGTGGTGCAAGGTGACCACAGTGGTGGCAACTTCTGGGCAGGGATCAGAAAATAAAGCATAGTGAGTGTGGGACACTTAACAGAAGAGGCACAGACAAGTGAAGGAGCCGGGTGGAGTGGTGGAGAAAACCCAGCAAGAGGAGGGGAGGCTGAAAACAGGCCACCACAAAAAACATTTTGGCTGCAAAAGCAGGAAGCCTGCACCGTGCAGTTTCCTTGCCTGGAATGAGAGTCCCTGTCTCCAGTTTCATCAACTCCTCCTCACCCTTCCAAAGACAGCCACTGTCTCTAGCTGCCCCAACTTTGCCATACCCTGGCCTCTCCTTTGGGACTGGATTCAGTCCTCTGTTAAAATTCTCATTGCCATGAAACAAAAGTACTTGTTAAGTGAGTGTGTCTTCCTCACGACACTGTGAGCTTTTTGAAAGAAAGGACCAGATCTCATTTTGTGCTCTGTGCTCAATAAATGAATGAATGAAGAAAGAATGGAGTTAACAGAGAGGGAGCAGCTCTGGAAGAGGAGCCAATTGACAGTCCTTAATCCTGGAAACCTCTTTCTTTAACAAGAATTGCATTGTACGGAAGGACAGCCAAGTCCCTCTCGCACGTTTACCTTGCCACCTAGTAGGAATTAGCCTTTGACCTTCCCTTCGGGCTCCCTGCCATTTGACTCCCAAACCACCTGCCAAACCAAAGAACACCATGTACAAAAAGGTCAGGAGCCTGGGGCAGATAAAGGGATAAGCGATTCCATGATCTTCAGGTGTAATCCAAACTGTCCCCATCCAAGTGTGTCCTGCGATCTGACTTGAAATTCTCGTGCTATGATAAAGGTCTCACAGCGTGTCACTTAAGAGTGGGTAGTGAAGTTGGAAACTCTTTCAAGACAACCAGAAAGAAGCTAGGCTGGAGGTGAGGCGGTTTTAAGGCCATGAAAATGCACCAGGAGGGCCTGGGGTGAGAGAAGAGGTCTGGAATCGTGGCTGGCCTGTCCCCAGCCTGCAACAACTCAGGAAGCCTGAGTGAGCCAGGCTGCTCAGGAATGTGAGAACGTTTACATCTCTTCCCTCACACCCACGCAGCCATACTTTCTCTATTTATTTATAGTCCCCTCTTCACACAAACAAACTTGCTCCCCTCTGAGACATCAGCTCCACTCTGGGCTCTGGCACGGGATGGGGGAAGCCTCTTAAGGAGAAAAACCTATGTACCTCAGTGTCTGAGCTGTGAAACCTAGAAAAAGGGACCCACTTTTCTGCAACTGACTCCTTTTTACCTGGCACACAACAGATGTACAGGACCTCAGAAGGATCTCAGGGAAGATAGTGGTCAAATCAGGAAAGGCATCTCTGTTACTGATTGCGGGCAGGGCAGGAGTACAACTGCTTGCCTTCTGTTATGCCTTGCATATCCACACTTACATTCATAGAGTTCTAGAAGGTGAGGGGCTTAGCTGACATTAAATTCCTTCATTCTACATATCTATATAGGGGCTTGCCTGAGATCACTTGCTGATCTATACCAGCACAAATTCCAAAGCCAGTCGGAAGATCAGGAGATGTTTACAGGAATATCCATCCCCTAAGGGACAGGTAAGAAATGGCTTTAACTTAGAAACAAAAGGATTCAGGCGAGACATAAATAAAGATTCTGTATATAAGAATAGACAACAGAAGCTGGGAAGCAGCCTTCTTTGGGATGGAGTCCTGTCCAAAGGCAGGGGGATGCCTGAATGATCTCTGAGCTGCACTTCCCAGGAACTCTCCTCTCACGCCGGTTCTTCTTTTTGGGAATCGGAGGGATTCCAAGGCTCTCTCCCAGAGCTGATGCCTTGGCCCGAAGCTAGGGGAACTTGAGAGGCCAGTCCTGAAACAGGTGCAACAGCTGGAGCAGCTGCGCAGCTGTCCCTGGCCGGCTCAGAGCCGGCCAGCCAGGGAGTGAGGCAGAGACCTCTACTGGTGAGAGAGAGGAGGTGCAGAACCTCGGAGCAAAAGACCCAGATGGTCTGCCTAGAGAGCTGGACTTCAGACCCTCACTCAGTGCCCCTCTGCCTCATGCCCATCTAGACAGTTGCTTGGGGATGCCACGAAGCTGAACAGAAAGGCAGGACCTCTTCTGGTGGGTGCTGCACTGCTTCCAGTGCCCCAGGCCCTCCAGGCACTGTTTCCTGACATCTAAGGATCTGTGTGTCCACTCCTCCCTGTACCTACACTGCCCCAGCTCCCTTTTCTTTCCAAAGGTCAGAGTGGACTCAGAACCAAGGCAATATTTGGATCTTAGAGACTTAGAATGTTGGGCTGTTAAATCCTCAGTGATCAGCCACTTTACAGATGGGAAAAGTGAGAGGCAGAAAAAGGCCACTGTGGGAGTCAGTGGAAGAGCCAGGACTGGAGCCCTGAACTGATTCCAAATTTTCCCTATGCACCACATCATACTGTGGAGAGCTCCCTTCCTGCCCCAGGCCTGCTTCTAGGGTCTGGGATTCTGAACCAAAGCTTCAATTCCCATCATGCACAAACCCTTGAAGAAAGAATAGAATGGTTGATGTTGTTATGTGGTAACTGACTCTCCTGCATAGCACTGGGTAGAGGGAGGGAAGATAAAATAAGATAAAGCAGAAGCATATCTAAAAGGGACATTTACCAAAGTACAAGCCCAAAAGAGGGGAGCCAATGTAGAGAAAAGAACAGTGGAAAAGGAGTGAAAAAATAGGTTACTTCTGGGTCCCAGAGGGGATGAAGGACCAGAGTAGAGTGGCTAATATTACACATGCATGTGGCTCAGCCTGGGGTCAATACCAGTGGGTGACAAGGTCAGGAACCCAGCCTATGTAAGGGTTCCAGCCTGAGGTAGAATTGGTATTCAGTCAGTGAGCAGGGTTGGAGGATTGGTGCTCAGCCTGTGGCTGGAGTTGAAACTCAGGCCGGATTGCTTTGGGGCTCAATCTACAGTCAAAAATGGAACCAGAGAGAAAATAATCTTTGTTGAGCAGCCTTCAACCTTAATGGAGGAACACACCAGAAGCCCTGTTCACAGGACCTGTTCACAGGTCCTCAGCATTCTGCAGGGCGTGGCCACCTCAAGAGTCTGACACCATCCAGACCTCAGAATTCCCATCTGTTGGCACTACTTCTTAAAACATCTAGAATGTCAGCAGGAGATTCCTTACCCACAGCAGGCTTCACTTAAATTAAGATGAGTCCCTTCAGAAGAGACCTTTAAATCAGATCCTGGGAAATGACTACAGGATGATTTCATAGACAGCCAACACTAGACAACAAGGTTCAGAGAAGGGAAGTGATTTGTCCCAATTCACAAGCCAGTAAGTGACAAATCAGTCCTCTGTTCTTTTCTTTAAAAAAAAAAAAGTTGTCGATGGACCTTTATTTATTTATATGTGATGCTGAGAATTGAATCCAGTGCCTCACACACGCTAGGCAAGCACTCTACCACTGAGTCACAACCCCAGCCCCTGTTCTTTTCTTTAAAAAATTCACTGTGCTAGGTTGTGACAAATAATTCCCCCTTTCTGGGCTTCAGTTTAACTCTAAGTCATTTGATGAGCAGAAGCAGATGAGAAGGCTCTTCCAGCTCCGACATCCCAGAAACTTAACACTCCTCCCTGAATGACAGTCCACTTCACCTTAACCCACTGGGTTGGCTCCAAGTCTTTCTCAAGTCTGGAGCCCTGGATTTACAAGGCTGTAGGGAGATGGAATACTGGCAGGACCTCGTGAGAGGTATGGACTTAAAGGCCAGTGGAGGCACAGAAGAGGGGAAGGCAGAGTGGATCAGGTCACCAGGGAGAGTTTGCTGGAAGAGATGACCAAAGTGAGGCTGTGACAGGCTGACAAGACATAGAATAACAGGAATAGGACATGAACAATCCCGCAGTGATCTGATTCTAGGACATCTTTCCAGTGTAGGCCAAGGGCAATGGCATCTGGAGTAAAACCAAGGGGCTGAGAATGAGAGGCCAAGTGGAAAGCAGTCAGACAGGGAGGGCCTCCTGGGCTGTCTCTTTCAAGGAACAACAGGCAGGGACAGGCAGGTGTTAGGAGGAAACCTGCAGGGTTCAAGGAGGGGAAGGAGACATTTACAGGGGAGTATTTGGACACATTACATCCTTCAATCCTCACCAGGACCCTCAGGTTCCAGGTTTGTATCTCTCTTAAGTGGATGAAGAAATCGGGGCTCAGAGAAATTGTGACTTAGGAAGAGTCACACAGCTCTAAGAGGCAGAGCCAGCACTTGAAACCAATACCAAACCCTCTTCATTAGTTGTTTCCAAGGACTTCTGAGTCTCGTGTGCTACTGGCAGGCCAGGGGCATTGGAAAGACATGCAGGCTTTACTTCAGGAGCAGAGACAAGACTGAAACAAAATCCAGCAACACCAGTGCCAGAAAGTCACGTGCAAAAGAAAGGCATGGAAAGGAGAGCTAAGAGGTTTGAGAAGAAAGAGCACCAGGCTGGGCATTGGGCAACTGGGCTATTAATCCTAGGCTCTGTCCTGTGTGACCTGAAGCAAGGCACTATTCCTCCTTGGCCTTGGTTTCATTATCGGGTATTTCAGGGTCTGTACTAAGCTCCTTCCTCCTCATTAAGCGAATCTTAATTGATTTTGCATTCTCACAGCATTCTAAGAGATTGGCAGGGGATGCAAAGGGGGTCCACCAGCCTATTGGGACAGTGAGGGAACTGAGTTCCAGAGAGATTATATAACCTGTTTGAAGTTACACTGTTTCATAAGTAGAAAAGTGTGAATTAGACAACTGTTTTTTTTTTTTTGGAGGAGCTACCATGTACCACCCTTGTGCTAGCTCCTTTACTAATTCCTATAATTTAATCTTCATAACAGTCCTGGGATGTTTTTATTTCCATTCTATAGATTAGAAAACTAAGCTCAGAGAGGTGCCTTCCCTACCTGCCTCACACCCATTGGTGTTCAGTGGGGCTGAGATGATGAAGACCCTGGTCTATTTCACTATGCCCTGCTGCCTCCCAGTGTCACAACTCCTAATCAGGGTCCCTTCCAGACACTGCGGGGCAGGGTTTGGAATTAGAGTTCTGTCTTTGGATGGTTTACTAACTGTAAATTCCAGCAAGTTCCTTCTCTTTGCTCAACCTGTTTGCTCATCTGTAAAATGTAAATGACACTACCCAGGGCACAGGAGTTTGGGATCAAAAGAGATAAGGGACTAGAAAGGTCATTCTACTTAGCTCTTTCCTTCCAAGGGCAGTAGCCTTTGCATCTTCAGCACAGCGGCTTTTTGCAGTCAAACATACCCCACTCTACTAAGTCCCTTTTCCCAAAGCACAGCGTCCTGCCCTCTGGCTCCTGCTGTCAGTCCTCACATCCTCAGGTCCATGGCAGCAGCTCCCTCAGCTCTAACTCTTGTCAACATCCCCTTTCCTCCAGACTCACCAGCCCAGGTCCGCAGAGGAGTCTCCACCCCTCCGGCACAGGTGCTGCCCGGATAGCTGTCACAACAGTTAGGGGTCCCAGATCTTGGTGTTTTCCCCGCACATCCCTGGGGCCCGCATCCCTCCTCTGCACTCCCAGCTTCCCACTTCTACTTACGCGCTCGAGCGTGGGAGTCCAAGGGGAACCAGAGCAGCGCGAGTCCTAGCAAGGTGGAGAGGACCCTCACCTGGGGAACCATCCTTCCTTCCCCCAGGGTCCGGCCACCCGGCACTGAGCAGGAAGGGGAGCCGGGAGGAAGTGAGATGGGAGGGAAACTGAGGCTCAGGGGCACAAATCACTCCACAGACCCAGAGGGGGCTGCTGCTGGAGGAGAGTCAGGGAAGGGTCTAGAGGAAAAAGGGAGGACAGAAAGGAAGGTCTAAGGCGTGAAAAAGAGAAAGGTGGGCAGAGGACAAGGGGCAAGGAGGGAAAGAGATGGAGAGATGGAGGAAGGTCCAACAGGAGGGAAAGGCAATCAAAGATCTGGAGAAGGTGAGAGGGCGAGGAGAAGAAAGAGGGGCGAGGACCGGGGACTGCCGGGAGCGCGGCGCTGAGCGAGGCGCCCGGGACCCGCGGTGTTCTGGGCACGCGGGCTGGAGGCGGCCGGCGCCCCCTGCTCGGTGGGTTGGGGGTCAGGCCTCGGGGGCCTGGGTCCCGGCGGGGCGGCGGTCCCGGCTGCGGCGGCGGCGGCGGCGCTGCGGCCGTGGGGGAGGCAGAGCGCGGGCGGGCTGTGCACGCCAAGGGCGCCAGGCGCCGTGCTCGGGCGCATTTGTACTTTGCCGCGGGAAGCAGGCTGCCCCGGCCTGGCGCTGGCCTAGCGCTGGCGCCTCCTCTGGGGCACCGCGGGCTCGTGGATTGGCCACTCGAGAAACAGGCCCACTTTCCCCCCTCCTTTCTCGTGCCGGTCTCAGGGACCGACGCTCCAGGCGCCGCGCCGAGTGAGGCGAGGGGGTTGGGGAGGGGGAAGGGGCCACCCGGGCCACGGGTTTTAACCCCTGACTCCCCGCGGTGCCCAGAGTGCAGGCGGGCGGAGCCCCGTTAGACTTCGGGTGGAACTTTCAGGTGGCAAAGGATGAGATGTCGGGGTCGAGGTGGGGAAGTGGACTAGCTGGAAAGGGAAAGCTCCGGGCAGGGTGCTTAGTGATGCGTGCACAGAACTCAGCATCTGGATGGAGTCAGGACACTTGCCATTCTTAATTGAGTTGCATGCCACCTGAGTCCGTTCCCCCAGCTCTAAAATGGGAGTTTTAATTTTTTAAAATATATTTAATATCTTCCCACAATTGTTGTGAAAATCATGAGATAATGAACGTTGAAGCACTCAAACCTCTTAGAGAAGCTGTCATAATTGCAGGTGCTTAGGATCCCAGTTGCCCTCCATCCCGGCCTTCACCCCCGTTTGCCATGCCTTGGCTGAAAGGGAGCCCAGTGGAATCCTTTGACTTTCCCCTGGGTCTTTACCTCCCACTCCTAAAACAACATGATCTTTCTTTTGCCTGAGCAGTTCAGGCCCGCACACATGTCCCTTAGAGAAATGGCATCCTCAGTTGTTAAAGTTGTCAAAAGTGTTGTCTTTCCCACCAGAAGGTGAGCTTCCTGAGAGCAGAGCTTTACACCAGCCCAGGTTTGTGTACCACCTTTTGTGTGAACTAAGCTAATGAGGACTGAGCTAAAGAAACACCCAAACCCTGTTATGGTTTGAATATGAGATGGCTCTGGAACAGCTCATGTGGTAATTCAAGAATGTTCAGAGGTGAAATGATTAGATTATAGAACTGTAGCCTCATCAGTGGGTTAGTCCAGTTGATGGATTAATAATTTAAATGGATTACTGGGTGGTAACTGTGGGGAGGTGGAGTGTGGCTGGAGGAAGTAGGTCACTGGGGGCATGCCTTTGGAGACAATATTCTATCTCTGGCTCCTCACTCTTCTTCCCTTGCTTCCTGGATGCTATGAACTGGGCAGCTTTCTTTGGCTATAACAATCCATCATGATGTTCTGCCTCATCTCGGGCCCAGAGCAATGGAGTGGGCCAACCATGGACTGAACCTTTGAAATCATGAGTCAAAATAAAAATGTTCTTGTGAGGTATTTTGGTCACAGAAACAAAAAGCCAATACTCTGAAATCAAAAAGGCAAAGTCATTGTCCTGGCTCTATCCCTAACTTGCTGGGCCACTTTAGATAAATATATCCATCCTTGCTTTTGACTGTGACTTTCTCCCCATCTTCTCTTGCAGAGCCACTGGAGGCTGTGGTGAGTGCTAGAGGGAGAACACTGGGAGGAGAAAGCACTGAGAATGGGTTCCTACCAAGGCAGGTTTCCAGGTTCAAACATTTCTGACTGCCTGTCTGTAAAGATACCATCCTGGGCCAATGCTGGGCTGCCTGTTCCACTGTGCTGCTGGCCACTCATTGCCCAATAGTGAGCAGTAGGAGGAACCAGTGACCCCAGAAATAGCCTTTCCCACTCTCAGAATCAGGGGCAAACATGATATGGCCCCAGTGCCTTTCCACTTGCCTTCTCCCCCTTGGAATCTGGCCAATCATGTTCTCCCATAAAGGTACAACACTTTAAAAGTGAGAGCTATGTGTGTCATCATATTTCCCTTCTTGCCTTGGCTTTCAGGGAACTCTGAGTTAAATTTAGTGCTTCATGTCTTAGGTGTAAGAGGGAATTACGATTGGTTTCCCCTGCATCCTTCTCATTTCATGTCACAAAGTGTGTCTATCAAATCAACTCTCCTCTCCATCTTCATTATCCCCATAATTAAGCCCATCATCATTTCTTCTTCTTTTTTTTTTTAGAGAGAGAGAGAGAGAGAATTTTTTTTAAATATTTATTTTTTTCAGTTTTCGGCGGGCACAATATCTTTGTATGTGGTGCTGAGGATCGAACCCAGGCCGCACACATGCCAGGCGAGCGTGCTACCGCTTGAACCACATCCCCAGCCCCATCATTTCTTCTTTTTTTAAAAAAATATTTTTAATTATACATGGACACAATACCTTTATTTATTTTTATGTGGTGCTGAGGATTGAACCCAGTACCTCATGCAGGCTAGGCAAGAGTTCTACCACTGAGCCACAACCCCAGGCTCCCATCATCATTTTTGTTGGACTTTTCCAACAGCCTCTTTTTAAAATTTTTTTATTTTTATTTTTTGTAGTTGTACACAATAACTTTATTTTATTTATTTATTTATTTTTACATGGTGCTGAGGATCAAACCCAGGGCCTTGCACGTGCAAGGTGAATGCTCTACCCCTGAGCCATAACCCCAGCACTCCAACAGCCTCTTAACGGGGTCTCCTGCCCTTAGCGTGGGCCCCTCCAATGTATTTTTCTCACATCTCCCATAAAGAGGTATGCTGATCATTTCTACTACAAATCTGAGTGCATTATTTTCCCATTATGGTTTTCCTATCATTTACATATTAAAATTCAACAATTTCAACATTAGATTCAAGACCATACATATTTTGCCTCCTGTCATTGCTGCCTGCTTTATTTACACTTTCACCTACCACTCACATTCCAAAAGTGGCCATGTATTTTCATGTCTCCATATCTTTGCAGATATTCTCCTTCTGCCTAGAAAATATTGTTCTTCCTCTTTCTAGTGAATCCCTCTTATCAAAAGTTAGTTGAGGTGGGCACTGTGGCTCATGCCTGAAATTCCAGTGACTCAGAGGCTAAGGCAGGAGGATCACAAGTTCAAAGCTAGCCTCAGCAATTTACAGTGAGACCCTGTCTCTAAATAGAATACAAAAAAAGGGCTGGGAATATATATTAGTGATTGAGTGTCCCTGAGTTCAATCCCCAATACCAAATAAATAAATAAATAAATAAATAGAGTCAGCTGAATCACTTCCCCTCTGAGGCCATCCCTGATTCCTTCAAAGAATAATTTTGAATCCTGTGTGTCTCACAACACTCGGTATTGTAGCTACTGGAGTCCAAATATTTATCTGCATTTCTACCCTGCTCTGTGGGAGCGGATGCCTTTTTTTCATTTGTATCTGTTTTTAGCACTTAGCAAAGTCTCTGACACACAAAGACACTGAATAAATAGTGTAGGAAGGGCTGAAGACCTCAGTGATTTGAAAAGACATCATTCTTTCATGGGAGTGCCATTAGCACCACTGTTAACCTCAGTGTTCATCAATAAGAAGCATAAGAAACAAGCTCTTGGCTGGGGACTTCACTGAGTGGTTGAGTGCTTATCTAGCTTGTAGGCTGATCCCCATCATTGCAAAAACAAAACCAACCGAAATACAAGCACTTGAGGAAAGTTTCTGGGTCTTCTATAGTAATACTATTGAAGATAGATGTCCATCTATTATTTAATCTCCTTTAGAAAAGGAGATTTGATAAATTCTTCTGAAATCTGCTTAGGAGGGAAATTCATCTATCCATAGCGATTAGTTGCACCAAGAATTCATCAGACTGTACTTGCTTCCTTGCTAGGAATAGCTCATTGCTTCCAAGGCAGCCCATTTCACTGTTGGGCAGCTCTGTTGTGAAGTTCTTGATATAAAACTGGATATAAAATTCTCGGTGACCCCCTGCATTGCGCCTAGCTCTGCTCTCACAGCTCTGTATAATGCTTGTCTTTTGAGAGCTCTGCAGAAATTTGAAGCAGAGAATCCCTCTTTCATGCTTTAACCTTTACCATTTCTGGGCCTTGGACCCCTAGGCCACATTAAACTTTGTCCTTATATGCTGAGCTCTTTTTCCTTCATGCCTCTGAACATACTGTTTCTTCCTTCCTTCCTTCCTTTTTTCTTTCTTTCTTTTTTTTTTTTTTTGATGGGTACTGGGGATAGAATCCAGGGGACTCTACCACTGAGTGACATCCCCAGCCTTTTTAAAATTTTTTATTTTGACACAGGGTCTCATTAAGCTGAGGGTGCCCTCCAACTTGTGATCTTCCTGCCTCAGCCTTCCAAATAGCTGGGATTACAGGCATTGCCCGGTTTATACATTCTGTTTCTTCTGCTTGGGGTGCTCTTCCTGTACTGCTCTTTTCTGTCTGGTAAGCTTACTTATTTTTCAAAGATCAATGCCATTGATATCTACTTCCTTCATGCAACAATTATTGAGTGGCAATTTTGTGCCAGGCAGTGTGCCAGGTGCTAGGGACACAACAGAGAACAAGACAGATACTGATGTGTAGAGTCCAGGATCTCTTTGAAGT